AAAAAAAAAAAAAAGCATTTCTTAAAAATAAAAATTAGAAATGGGTCATAAAACCCGAACCCCACCTATTAGGATCTGGCCCTGTTGGGGAAAGTGGGCACCAGTAGGCATTCCACATTCTACTTATACCTCCAGCTCTTCAGCCACCACAGAAAAAGAACAGAGTGCTCCAGTCTCTTCTCCCCCAACCCACCCTCTCCTAGATCATCTCCTCTCTTTAGTAGAGGACTCCTAGCTGAGCCAGTTAGTCCCTCTCATGCACAAACAGGTTTGTCTGTGTCGATGTAAATAATCCATAACCAATCTATAAATCAAAATTGGGGTGAGTTTATTATGAGCCAACTTTTGAGGACCATGGCCCTAGGCCTTCCTTCCCTAAGGAAGGAAGGGCACCAAAGAAGTAGGGTGTACAGAGCGGTTATATACCGTCAAAGAGCATGTATCACATCAGATTGCAGTGTCCCTTTTACAATAGCCACAAGATCACCCTGCCAGGTTGTCCTATATTTTTTTTTTTAAAGATTTTTATTTATTTATTTTTTTCCCCAAAGCCCCAGTAGATAGTTGTATGTCATAGCTGCACATGCTTCTAGTTGCTGTATGTGGGACGCGGCCTCAGCATAGCCAGAGAAGCGGTGCGTTGGTGCGCGCCCAGGATCCGAACCCGGGCCGCTAGCAGCGGAGCGCGCGCACTTAACCGCTAAGCCACGGGGCCGGCCCTAGGTTGTCCTATATATAGCTATTGATGGACACAGCAGGGAGCAGCTCTGCTGTCTCGATGGGCGTGGCTGGTGTCAGGTCTGTTGTCTCGAGCTGGGTGGTCACAGGATGAGTGCAGCAATCAAATCCTAGCCTAGGGAGAAATGCTTATCCTTAAGGAAATACCAACGTGGGGGGAAGTTGCATCATTATCTTAAGGGCATTTACTCTTCTCTTTGGGACATGGTAAAGCAGATACACAACGCATGCTTGAAGGCAACAGGCCCTGTTGGAAACACAAACTCAGGCCGAATTAGTTTTACCCCACATGGCTTCCTCAGGTGCTCCAATATATCTTATCGCTCGCCATTTATTTATCATCTGCAAACAGCCATTTTTTTCACAGGTTCTCAAGCAGCTGGGCTACCAAGAGGGTTGGATATTTAAAAAAATAAAACTAAAAGAAAATCAACTAATATTAGCAGTAGTTATCTCTGAGTGGTGGGATCACAAGTCCCATGTTTGCTTTTAGGCAATTTTTAAGTATTTTCTAAAACATATATACACTGGTTTAAGACATGAAAAATATTTATCAACAGGCCGAGAGGCTGGAAAACAATATCTGGATCCCTACTTCATCACTGGAGGAATGGCACAGACAGGGACTTCATAGGCTGCTAAAGGTATTGTGCCCATTGCCTTTAATTTAGCTTCTTACAGTCCAAAACACTAAGGTTTCTAGAGGCAGAGAAGTAAAAGGGCCCTACCATAAACACTCCATGTATTAAGTTCCAAAGAGGTGCTACGCCAGGGTGGTGAGGGAGGCCTTGGCCAGCCTGCAGGAAGCTTGCCTAACTAATCCAGAGAGTAAAATTAGCAGAATGACAGCAGGCCCCACCTGTGGGTGCCAGAGGTAGAAGTCCACTAGCCTAGAGGCTTCATGCAAGGGAAGAGGCTGAGCTAGTGGATAGGGGCCCTATTTGCAATTCATCTCAGGCCTTTCTTTCTGCCCTTTTTCTGGCTGATTTAACCAGATGGCAGAGGCTGCTTGAGTCCCATTCCAGACTAAGAAAAAAATGGAGTGTTCAGACCGTGAAAGGGCCCGCTCTTATCTCCCCACTGTGGCTGCAGTAATGACCAGGCAGGCTGAACAGACTGCTGTGTTTGCCAGGAAGCATAGTAAAGAGGCATGACCATTACATGTTAATCTTAAACCCAGGGTTGCTGTGCTTCTAAGCTTAGGAGAGGGCAAAGAGGTTTCGGTATATAAAAAAGGAAAGGGTGCAGGGGTTCAAACCCTGTGAGCCTCTCAGACAATGGAATACCATGTAGCTAATAAGAAAGAGGCAGCTCTCCATGAGTTGATAAGGAACAAACATCCAAGATTAATTACGTTTTTAAAAAGTGCGGCACAGTGTGTGGTATGCCATCACTTGTGTAAGAGAAAGAAAAGCTTAATATCAGAGATTAGCTCTGGAAGGATAAACAGACTGGCACCAGTGGTGGCCTCTGGGCAGCAAACTGGGAGATGTGAATTAGAGTGGAAAAAAGACTTTCTTTTCCATGACTTCCCTCTTGTAACTTCTGAATTCTGGACCATATATATAAAACTCAAATATATTTTTAAAACAGTCTGCATACACACGTGCAAACACCTGCACAAAGCTATGAAATCATTCCTCAGTCCCTTCAAACTCCCTTTCTGGGAGCAGAACCCGACATCCTCCTCCAGCACCATCTGTTCTGTGGCCCGCCTACCTCCATCCCTGTGATGACGCACAGTAGCCTAATTTCTGCTCTCCACCTCACTCCATCTTTCCCAGCCTCCCATCTGATCACAGAAGAGTATACCCGTTACTGCTCTCCTTAGCATCCCTAAATTTTAAAGTATCTGTTCTATGTTGTATCCTCTCAGAACCCTGTAATCAACTAGCTCCAGCTGAAGTCACCCCTCCCAGACACACTTGCATAATAACAATGAACTTCAGGCAGAGAGTGACTGATTTTACGGGCAAGTGAGTCAGAATCGCGGGGAAGAGAAAGGAACACTAGAGTCGAGGGTCAGCAGACCTTGGTCTTCTTTAGGCTATGTGACTTGGGGCAAATCTCTTTTTCCTTAACTTAAAGAGAAGGGGGCTATAACAAATGATCGTTCCAGACCTACCATCCTCAAAATTCCACGTGCCTCTCTGATTTCCATCCGCTCTGAACTTGACGTGTACTGGCTGTGTTCAACAGCGCTGTCTGACAGAAATATAATGCAAGCCATAGATGTCATTTTAAACATTCTAGCAGGCCCACCAAAAAAGAAACAAGCGAAATTAATTTTAATAATAGATTTTATTTAACCCAATATATCCAAAATATTGTCATTTCAACATGCCATCAATATAGAAATTATTGTTTCCATTCCTTGTTTAGCACTAAGTCTTCGAGAGCTGGTGTGTATTTTACATTTACAGGACATCTGGATTTAGACCAGCTACACTTCAAGTGCTCAAAAGCCACATGTGGCCAATGGCTAGCGTGGTGGACAGCACAGCACTTAAACGTCTTAACAAGGAAGGCCTCACTCTGCTCCTGACCCCATTAAGCCCAGAATTAAAGATACTGATCTGAGTACCAGCCTGCATCCTCAGGAAAGGGCACCGTCATCGGAGCAGTCTTGGCTCTGAGTTCCTTGTCTGACTAGGAGGACAACTCTGAAGAGTTCAAAACAAACGTAAAACGGAGGACCTAGAGGCCTAGAAGCAGAACAGTACTGGGGAACTTCAGGGCAGAGAACAGAAAAGTGAGCTGGGCAGCCAGGTCTTCTGTATCCTCAGAGTTTCACAATACAAAATCCACACGCTCACCAAAAGCACACAGATCTCTTGTCATGTCAGTCATATCAACTCATTCATTTAAACACCTCTGAACACCTCTAATCCCCAGGCACTCGGCTGGGCAATGGGGATACAGCTAGCCCTCACAGGAGCTCTTACTTGGGGCAGGATAACACACTAAGCACTTCATAAAGATCTCATTTACTCATCCAAAAGTCCCTATGAGAAAAGAACTAAATTACAGATGAGAACCCTGAGGCTGAGAGGTGCAATCCCTTTCTAGCAGCCACACACCTTGTGAGAGGCGGAGCAGGGATCCAGACCCGACCGCAAACACTGCAACAAGCCACACTCCTCGCTTCAGGGGGCTCACAGTTACTGGAGGCAACAAAGAATTTCACAATTATAAGGCCACTGGGTCCTATCACAGAAGGGATATGAAATAGGGGCCTGGAAGCAGGGAACATGGGGAAAGGATTCCCAGAGGTAACCCTTGAGTAAGTCTGGAAGGTTGAGGAGCTCACCAAGCAAAAAGGGAGGCCAGACCTTCCAGAGGGAACAGCAGGTATGAAAGGCACAGAAGTGTGGGGGAGCACACAGTGTTCAGAGACTGTGACTGGCTAAGCAGACGGAGGGCAGCGTGCATACAGAACAGAGGCCCCATATGAAAGTGGAGGTGTCAGCCCAAACCAGTGCATAAGGGGCCTTCAATTCCATGAAGAAGAATCTGGGTTTTACCCTGGAGGCCATGGGAAGTCGTTAAGGAGTTTTATCTAGGGTAGTGAACAGGACCAGATTGTCATTTTAAGAAATCATTCTGAAGGAGAGAGATCTCAAAGCTTACCTGCCTCCCTTCCTCTCCCCAGGGTTCTTAACTATTTAAAAGCCCATATGTTTCCTACAGAGTTGGACCACACCCCAGGGACTTAATTTCCCAAGGGCCTGTGAAGTTTACTTACTCTACCCATCTTACTAAAGAGAAGTTGTTGACTTGCAACTCCTAAAAATCAGCCTATGAAAAGCTACCATATTTTTGGCATCAACACTGCCGGAGGTCCCAGCAGGGGTAGTTTGCTGGCCTTCAGCTGCAGAAAGGCTGGCTCCTGCTGGAAGCCTTTCACACCCTGACAGCAGTTCTACATTTACTTGCACAGAGACATGTAAGACTCTTATAGCCAGTGACAGAAAACAGTGAAACATTCAGCTACTCAAACGCTCAAGCCCCAATGCCTCCTCCCCACAACAATGAATAAAATTGTTCATTGCCTTCAAAACCCATGTCTCCCCTTTGCCCAACCCCTCCGCACACGGCTTCTAGCTCACCTGATTACCCAGTTCCATTTTCAGCTCATCAGGCTCTGAGGCTGGCCTACTTTCCAAGGCCCCACGAGCAGAAAAACTTGTGCATTATACAAACAATAGAATATAACTAGAACAACAAGATATAGAAAGGGAGGAACAAGCAACCAAGGAGGCATACCAAGGAGGCAAGGACACAGGCAGAACCTGGTCCAAAAGCTATCAGACAAGGTACAAAACTACTACTGCAGAGCAGGGAGAAAGGGCTGACAGCAGGGAAAGGGCAGGAGACACACCGAGTGTAATAGAGCAGGGCTTGGCCACTGACAACCTGGAAAACTGAGCTGAAGCCTGAGAGGCACCACACAAGATCACTTACCCAGTGAGGGGAGCTGAGCAGCCTTACTTTGTTTTCAGTGGTCACCCAGGTGGTTCTGAAAGCCAGGCCCTGGTCTGAACAGAGAGAGGGCCCAAGCAGCTTCGAGCCTATCGCAAAACCATGGGAACGGAATACTGATAAATAGCTAAACCAGATCTGTGGAGAGGAGCACAGAAAAGAAAGAGGCTTTCTCAGATCTCACTCTGACTACTCAAGTGCCTGCCCTGTAGGGCGATTTTCAGAGGTAAGTTTTTCAAGGAAGTGAAAGGCCAAGGATCACTCCATCAGACTGGACTTCCTGAACTTCCAGTTTCATTAACACCCTGACCTGAAAAATCCACCCTGTGCCTTTGCCAAAAAGATGGAATGTTCATGAATGCACTCTCCTTTCCCAAACTCCTCCTTCACAAGGGGCCTCTGGGAATACGGGGGGACTCTTCTGGAGGACTTGTGCTCTCTGGCCCCACTCTGTTTCCACATTACCTACCAACACAAGCCCAAGTGTGGTGCGAGGGAGAGAGCATTCAGGCAGCAAGATACAGTTCACCTGACTGGATCAGCTCTTTCTAGAATCAGGCTGGCTCCACTCCTACAGGGAACCAGCCAGCAAAACAAATAGGCTGACACGGATGAGTTACTCTGCTTCTGTCGCCGCAGACGTGAGGGGCAGAGGTGAGGTGAGTGAGGAAGACCCCTCAGTCGTGGATGGGAAGCTGGCCGAGAGGACGAAACACGGCCTCCCGGATCCGATGGAAGAGCTGAGCCAGCTTGTAGAGGAAGGGCAGGGAAGAAGGAGAAGCTGCAGGGAAAAGGAAAGACTGTGGTCAGTGTGCTTCCCTCCCTCCCACCACACGCAGCCCCACGTCCCATCCCTTGGAAACTCTATCGCCTTTGGAGAAGGCATGATTTTTTTAAAGCGTATTTTGATGCCTAATGATAGTTGCTCCTCCTCCCCTCCCCAACAATAAAGAATTTCACTTTCTCTAGGATATATCCTCTGGGATATATTTTCTTTACTTGGATTACAGTGACCGTAAGTTTGCTGATCCAAATTTGTTATGTTTTAATCCAACTTTTTGAAATACAAAAACTGGTAATGGTGGCTACCTCTGGGAGGTAAATTTGGGAACAGACTTTTCATTACATTCCTTTTTGCATCTTTTAAATTTAGAGCTAGTGACAGTATTACCTATTTTTATCATAAGTTAATTATATTGAAAAAAAAGTGAAGCAAAAGCTACCTCTTTGGAATTAAAGCTGAGCTGGTTTGTTTGTTTTCCTTATTTGAATTACTGATTTTTTTAACTGATTTTTTTTCTTTCCTAAAAAGAAAAATGTTATTTCTCACAGAAAGCTATTGACAATCTGCCCTCTTTATATCCTTTCTACCGAGTTCTAATTGTGGTCCAGTCGTGGGTTCTCCACTCCCAAGCCACCACCACTGCAATAAGTCAAGACTGCCACCAACAGTCAGGGCCGTTGGGCCAGGGCACTTTCAAGAAGCTCTGAGGGGGCCGGCCCAGTGGCGCAGCGGTTAAGTGTGCGCGCTCCACTTCAGCAGCCCGGAGTTCACAGGTTCGGATCCCGGGCACGCACCAATGCACCGCTTGTCAGGCCATGCTGTGGCGGCGTCCCATATAAAGTGGAGGAAGATGGGCACGGATGTTAGCTCGGGGCCAATCTTTCTCAAGAAAAACGAGGAGGACTGGCACCAGATGTTAGCTCAGGGCTAGTCCTCCTCACAAAAAAAAAAAAAGAAGAAGCTCTGAGCACCCTTAGAAACAGCAAGTTCAAATGGCCCCTTGCCATCCCCACCTAGGAGACCAGATTTTATGAGACTAAAGGGCTTATAAGAACCATAAAAAAATTCTCTAAATTTTTATCAAGTCTCTGGAACAAAGTAGAAAGTTAGAGGGTGGATAGGAATGAACACAAACTACCCTTAGCTTTCCTGAGAGCTAATGAGGGACTCTTCCTAAAGCAGACAGAGCTGTTCAGTGGGCACTCCTGCTCAGTGTTCAGCAAAGGGGTTAAAAGACGCCTGTGAGCTGTGCACAAAGAGCTCACGGAAGGAGAGAGAGGGGCATGGGGACGCGGGAGGATCTAAAGATTAAACCAAGAACCAGCAGTTTTGAAAATCGACAAATTGTTTGTGTAACCCTGGGCTAGCCACTTTTCTCTCTGGTTCCGAGGTTTCCCACCCAAAAGACAAAAATGAAGGGACTGGAATAAGGGTTTCCAGTTTTCCCTTCAGTTTTGTTTTGTTTTGTTTTGCTGAGGAAGATTCACCCTGACCTAACATCTACACCAATCTTCCCCAATTTTCTATGTGAGCCACCACCATAGCATGGCCACTGAGAGACGAGTGGTGTAGGTCCGAACCCGGGATCCAAACCCAGGCCGCCAAAGCAGAGCGCACCAAACTTAACCACTAGGCCACGGGGCCGACCCCTTTCCCTTCAGTTTTGAAAGTTATACAATTCTATTCTAAATCTAAATTCATGAGAAGAGTAGAGATTAGATCATAACTCACACAGAGTAACACACAAAAACCTAAAATAGTGAGGGCCTAACCTTTGGCCCAATGCTCACCCGTCTGAGGAGTTAATCCTCAGGAAACAACAAGGTCATTCCCAGTAGCACTTAGGAAGCTCATGTCTGCTTCACAGCACGGCAGAAAACAGTAAGAAATAATCAAATGTCCAACAATAGGGAGCTATTAAATCAATTATGGAAGCTTCTATAAATTGGAATATTATTTAGCCACCTAAAGCTATGTTTTAAAGAATATTTATGACATGCAAAATTGTATCTATATCCATAGAAAAAGACTTAAAGTATAACCATTACAATAGCAGGCATATAGGTGATTTCTGTTTTCTTCTTTATACTTTTCTATATTTTCCACATTTTCTAAAATGTATACGTATTTCTACAATTTAATATGCTTTAAATTAACACAAATTTTTTTAGACATTATGATAAGATTTTCTCTTTTAAATTCTGAGGTTCTACTCAGTGTTCACCCCTGGATACAGTAGATAATTAAACAGCCCAGAGTCAACATTCAAGGGTGAACAGGGTAGAGTGGATTTTCTCCAGATTGCTCTCATGGACTCCTTCTAGGTGGGCTGGGGCTGACTCTTGCTCGGGTCCAGCAACCGCTCCTTCTAGAAGAGACTCAGGAGGTAGCTCCATCCCCTGGAGGGTTCCCATGGGCCCAGCTCCTGTCAACTGCCACTTCCCCAGGAAGGGTGGGAGGGGAGGCAGGCTTCACTTACCTGGATCAAACCTTGCCACCAAGAGGCAGAGGATCAAGGCGGCCAGGAGGCTCTTTTTGAAGGGCAGGGAAAAGAAGTGGCTCACTGCAAAGTCCCAAAGCCGGCGAAGCAACAGCAATAGTGACAGAAACTTGTGGAAGAAGGAGCCTGCCCAGGGAGACAGAGCATAACTTCAGAAGAAGTCATGAGAATCAGCTTCCCTGCTTCTGAGCTTTGAGCTTGATGGTAAGAGTAGAGCAAAAGGGACAGAACTTGGCATCAAACCCCTTTCCTCCCCTTCCTCCCCAGGGAGTGGAGGGGCAGAGGGTTTGGGTAGCCACAGGGAATCCCTGAAGCCAACAACCTATTTGTAAAGAAGTGATCCTATCTCAACAAGTGCATGTTCTTAAGCACCCAAAAGAAAACATTTTGGAGAACAGGATTACAGTCTCCTAATAGCTGAAGGGCTTTCATGTAAAAAAGGGATTAGGCCTATTGTATACATTACCAAGAGAAAAAACAAGGATCAGTGGGCAAAAAATACCAGGAGAAAAACTTAAATTCAGCATCAGGAAGAACTTCCCTACAGAGCTATCCATAGATGGAATGAGCTGCTTCAGGAGCTGGTGAATTTTCTGTCCTGGGAAGTATTCATATACAGACCAGATGGTCACTCGAGGGAAAGCGATGAGAAGGATTCAAGGTCCAGGGAAGGGTCTGGAGTAGAGGACCTTTAAAGTCTCTTTGTAACAAAACAACTCCCACACCCAACCAAACCCTGTGTAGGTACCCTGTGCTAGCCACGTGTACGGTGGTGGGTCTTCAAGCGGTTTCCCTATAGAAGCCATTTTGTAAAACTGCACTCTAACGGGCAGAGGTGGGCTGCCTCTGAACGGGGTGGACACCAATCACTGAAGAAGACACCCAAGAGGTCTAGTAAGTGCAGGCAGACAGGATGCTGGACGGGGGGCCCAAGCTGAGGAAAAGTACTTTTTATCTCATAAGTCAAGTTATAATCTTAGTTGCTTATCTTCCTTTGACTATCCCCAAGCATACCTCAGCTGTGTCTGTCTTTGGGCCAGCATTTAGAGGAGTAACACCCCACCCAGGCCAGCATGGTGGAGGCAAGAGACCTAATGAGAGGATTCCAAGGAGAAGGTGACTTTCAGGAGACAAGAGTCAAGGTTCTGAGACCAGGCACCACCTCCCCATACAGAGATTCTCCTTCCAATGCCAAGTTCAGAGGATCAGGGCTTGGCTTTTTAAGCAAGTCAACAGGTTTCCTATTCTGTGATTTGGATGTTACTCATACAAAGAATTGCTGGCAAGCTCCCCAGAACATCACGATGGACCCCAAGGTCCAGGGGAAAGTCCACAACTCCACTTTACAGAGGCCACAGAAGGATAATGTCCTACCTTGCTGGTTTAGTTTCTGGGCCTCCTCAGAGCCAGAGCGTTGGTGTCTCTGCTGTTGCCTTGCTGTGCTAATGGCCTGGAGTGCGTCCAGCCGCTGCTCATCACTGAAGGCTGCAGAGCCCACCACCAGCTCCTCAGCCTCCGACAGGCAGCCCAGAGGCAGCAGAACCCGCTGCAGGTGAAGTTCTGCCAAGGCTCTGTATTCTGGAAGGCCCTGATTGTCTGGGTCTTGGAGCCAGGCACTGACCACTTCCAGCATGGCTCCAGGCTCTTGCATTTTGCTGTATAAAAGAACACTGCAGCCCCAAATAACACAATCCCCCAAAAAAGAACAGTCAGTGCTCCACAGTTGCTTCACCTCTCAAAACCTCTACACTTCTCCTATCCAACCCCTCCCCCAGCCCCAGCCCTTCCCTATCGGATGCTGACACTGATAAGAATTAGGAACTCCTAAGAAGTAGCAAGAAGCTCTCTCAGCTGACACACTCCACTTCTGTCATCCCACTGCACATCTATTCCCAGTGTCCCCTCTCTTTCTCTTTTCCCTACCCCACTCTTAAATTCTTCTTTCCTCTTCCTTTATTGCTATGTTTTGAGGTCTGGGGAAAAAAACAAAAAAAAACAAGGAAAGAATTCGATTTGGAGGGAAATGGCAGGGAAGTGGAAGAGAGGAGCTATTAGGCACTGATTCAGGAGATGGTGTGAAAACGCTCTTGTTCCTGGAGGGATGCAGCGAGTCAGCGATAAGGACCTACCACAGCTCCAGGACTCTGGGGGGCAGCTCTTCAGGAACCTGGTAATACTGAAGGACCCAGGACAGCACTTCCCGCCACCGATTCATTTCTGCCAGGGCCTGGATCCCCACAACACAGAGGGAGCATTTCACCTCCGAGGAGCTGCCAGCAGAAGAACCAGTTCCGGTTTAGCAGTGTTTCCCCTCCACTTCCGTTCCCACCTGCACTCTGCGACTGTTCTCCCCAGCTCCCAACTCAGCAGCCATCACTTCTACCCTCCCCAGCAGCCTTCAAGCGGCCTTACCACTTCAATTGCTCTCGTGGGCCCCGACACAGAGAAAACTGCCCTTTTTCCCAGGAGTTAAAAATTTCTGTAAACCTTCTAGAGGGAAAACAACTGTTGCCCAACACACATCTTTGTATCCAGGTAAAATCGGGCTTAAATTAACAGGAAGGGTTCATTTAATCCTCAGGGGAAAAGGACACCGTGCGGCACCGGCGCGCAGCGCAGCGAGCTGGAGCGGAGCCCGCCGAGGCCGGCACCCGGCGCAGGTTAACAACGCCACCACTGGCCGTGCAGCGCCACCTAGTGCGCACCTCCAGGCACCAGCATCTCAGCCTTCAGCATTGACCCCGTCAGCCCCTACCAACCCCTAAAAACACAGCCAGGGCTCCCCAGCTCCTCCGCCTCCGGGGTCAGCTTTGACTATTCTACCCACCACCTCCCTAGTGTGGCCTAACGCAACTTTACAATCCATAGGGAAACGATGCCCTCAACTACCGGAAGAGGCTAGCAGCGTTAGAAAGAGCAACGCAGGGCCAAGGTTTTCTTCGGATTCTTTAATCCAATCCTTCAACAGGACCAGAACACTACTCCTGCCCTGTACCCCATTCCCATTCATCAGCCAAGGTCAGAAGCGAACAACTCGGGGGAGGGCCGTGTACCTAGGAGAGGACTTCCACCAGCTGCTTACTGAAATAATGTGACACTACCTTCCCGTCAGGCCATGCTACACTGGAACAGGGTTGCCACTAAGCTGTCACACGACTTGCCCACTTCTTCCTCACTGTGCAGTGCCTCAGTTTCCCCCTCTGTAGAATGGAAACAAGATGACCAACCAGGCTTTCCGAGAAGACCACTAACGAAATCCAGGCGCACGGTTCCTGGCGAGCAGCCCGGGAACGGCCCCTCCCGGACCCGCGTCCCTCCCCACGGTCCCGGAACGCACGGCGCCACACGTACGTGCCCGCGGGCTGCTCCGCCGGGGCGCCGTCGGCCAGGGCCCGCCGGGCG